CAGTTAAAATGATGAAAAGACTAAAGCATCATTCACTGACCAAAAATGCTATTTTATTTGGATTTTTAATGCTTTTGCAGAAGTACCAGTTGGGCAGGCCACTATGCACATTCATTTCTTATGTTGAAGTTTCTTTTGATACAAGGCAGGTGTCTGGTCACCCTGAATTACCTGACCCCTACGCCAGGAGGGGCAGTACTCAGCCCGGCACAGGGGGTCCGAAGAGCTGCTACCAGAGCCCTGTGGAGGATTACGAGTGAATTGTGAAAGAGAGGGTAGGAATAGTGAAATCTTTGTTCCAAGAGCAGGTCAACGTCCAAATGACAACAGCACTCCCTTAACATTGTTTTAATAATGAATTAACCCAGTAGAAGAAACCAATTGTTCAGTACTCTGAACGTATAAGATCATAGGTGGCCAACCCTGCTCCCAGAGAGCCATGGTCCAGCAGGCCTTAAAGGTCACCCTGAAATCTGTAGATGGTTTAATCAATTTAGTCAGTTAATTGGTTCCCTTAAGTTAGGAATGCCCAGTGCCTCTTGCTAATTGCAATGTATTGGCATTTTCAAATGAGATCTGAACCAATAAACTGCTGAAGTGGTCCAGATTAATTCTTCCAAGTGTTTTTTTAAGGGGGACCCATGAAACGTGCTGGACTCGTTCGTCTCCGGGAGCAGGGCCAGTCACCCCTGTGTTAGATCATCCTTGGTCACCTGGGGCTTCTCTTCTGCTGTGGTGGCACTGATCACCTACACAAAACAAACAGCAGGGGAGCAGGGGGAAGGAGCAGAGAGCCTTTGCAGGAGGCCCTCCGGATGGGGGCTGGATCTCTGTACAGCTGGGCAGTGGGGGGGGGATCACCGTCTCGTTTAAGGCGCCATGGACACAGGGACAGCTGGGTGGCCAGAGTGGGATCTAATCCTCTGTAAACATCATGCGCACCAGGTCAGCCTTGAAGCACTCCTCCTCCACCAGCTTCTGAGGCTGCAAAACAGGCAGAGAGAGACCTTGCCAGCCCAGGACCTCAGAACCACACCAGCGCTGGCTGACAGCAGGGCTCATCGGTCCTGGTGGCCCACAGCATGATAAGATAAGTTCACTTTATTGGCCATATACAATCGCTTGTATTAGGACTTAATCTTTTCGAGGACCCCAGCTTGCTCTCCATGAGACACAGTCAGGGAGAGAAGCTTGGGGTCAGAGCGCAGGGTCAGCCATTTATACGGTGCCCCTGGAGCAGCTGGGGTGAAGGGCCTTGCTCAGGGGCCCAACGGAGTAGGATTCCTCTGCTGGCCGCGGGATTTGAACCGGCAACCTTCCAGCCACAGGCTGCTTCATAACTGCTGGTTTGAAACTTGTCCTTGTCCTCCGAAGTTTGGAATTTGATGTGACCTGTGCAACGCAACACCCTATTGGCAGCGGCCCTCAGGTTCAAGAGCTGGGAACAGTTACGGTTCAGACGAATCCTGGTTTATCTGTGTAACGAGAGCTGGGCTGGAAGGAGACCCGGCGGGCGGGTGGGCCTCCGGGACAGAGCGTGTGCGTGTGCGTGGGGGGGGCTCACCGTGCCGTATCTCAGCAGTGTGGGCACGCCGCTCAGCTTCAGCACCTTCCTGAACTCGTTGTTGGGGTCCTTCCAGCTTCCAGGGAGCGAGAAGAAAAAAAAAAGGCAAGATGCAGTTCAATCACTGGAAAGGAGGGGGAATTGGCATTTGTAGAGTTCTAGAGCACAGCGCCCCCTACTGGAACGAGCACAATGGCACAGGCTGGAGCTCTCCAGTGTGTGCTTGCTGCTGTGCCGGCGTTCCACCTCCGAGCAAAGACTTCTTGGGCTGACACAGCAGGGCTGGGTACCACCTCAGCTGCACAGGTTCAACATTCCCCTTTCCAAGACTGGTGGTTGCAC